CTCCTATACACTAGCGACAGGGGACCCACAGTACACGACCACTCTGTATATGAGGAACTATCTGGCAGCAATAACCCAAATGGATTTGACCCTTTTTTCAACTATTGTGAGAGGCCTGTAAGGGGCGTCATCAACCCGCGGGAGGTTAATATAGATATGTTCCACAGACATGCTCATTCGCGGAATCCATAAACCCCAGGAGAGGGCACTACCGTAATAGCCAAGGAAGACCTGGAGGCGGTTGATGAGGATGGAATGGTTGATCGTGTCAAATGCGGCTGTTAGGTCAGGGAGAATGAGAATTGAGAGGGAACCAGAGTCAGCAGAATGTAGAGAGGAGCAGAGAGGAGAATGTCGTTGGTCACCTTGAGTAGGGCAGATTCTGTGCTGTGGCGAGTACGGAAACCAGATTGAAAAGGTTCATGAAGGTTATTGCAGTCCAGATGGGATTTTAGTTGGGAGGCAACAGTTCGCTCCAGAATTTTTGACAGGAATGGGAGGTTAGAGATGGGCCTGTAGTTATTGAGGGAATCAGGGTTGAGACCAGGTTTTTTTAGTATGGGAGTGACAGCAGCGAGTTTCAGATCAGGGGGGACGAGTTCAGTGGACAGAGAGGAGTTAATGATTGTGGTGATAAGATGAGTGAGTTGGGGGAGGCAGTCCTTGACAGGGGTGGAGGGCATGGGGTCCAGGATGGAAGTTGAGGTATTCATGCCGGTGACTTAGGCAACTATGCCCAGTGAGGTCATTTGTCTGAAGGCTGTAAAAGGGTGCCTGGAAGGAGGAGGGTAGGCAGGTTCCGGAAAAGGATGGGTGGTGGACAAGACGGAGGAGTTGGCTATGTTGCTGCGTATTATTTCAATTTTGTTTTGGAGGAATGAGAGGAAGGATTCACACTTTGAGGTGGTGAAGGAGTTGGATATATTATCCATGGGGTTGAGGAGCTTGTTAATAGTTGAAAAAAGGGACTTTGGGTTATTGCTGCCAGATTGTATTACAGAGGAGTAGTGGAAGGAGCTTGCACTGTTGAGGGCATCTTTGTACTGCTGTTGGTGGGGACTGCAAGTTTTTGAAAGTCTGTAATATTAAGTTTTAAAGAAAGATTTCCCAGATTGTTTTGTTTAATAGCAACGCCAAATAATCATAGGATCCTCAACCTCACTGTCGATACATTTAATCAACATTTCTAGGTTTTTGTGTTTCAGTACTATTTGAACGTTTTTCTTTTTATGCAATCAACAACAATGAATAATCTTTGGATACATTTTGGCTTGCTATCTTTATAGATAAGTCCATTCGTCCGTGGGCGACTGTGGCTGTGAGGGAGTGCGGTCGTCTTTCAACCAGAAGGTTGTGGGTTCGATCCCAGCCCATGCAGTCAACATGTCGATGTATCCTTGGGCAAGATACTTAACCCTGAGTTGCTCCCAATGGCGTGGCCAACGGTGTGTGAATGTGTATGAATGTTAGGTCCTAGAGTAAGGTCCACTGCTCTGTATGAATGGGTGTGAATGGGTGAATGACATGTAGTATGTAAAGCGCTTTGAGGGGTCTTAAAGACTGGATAAAGCGCTATATAAGTACAGTCCATTTACCATTTACCATTTTATAAGAAAGCATAGACACATGTCCTTATTTTAAGGTCTGTGTAGGTTCTTAAATTGAAGGTAAATATTATTTGGACTGATACATTTTCACAGAAACACAGGAGGGAACGCTTCTTAAGCTTCCATATTTTGACATAATTTCCTAATCAAATGGAGTTTTTCAGGCAGTGAAAAGTACAAGAGGAATTAAAATCAAATACTGTTGCATTTGATTGGACTACTGAAAAGCGGTCTTTTTTCTTTTAAATGAAGCTACAGAGGACTGTTGCAGATTGATGACGTTTTGTTCTTGCTCACATGAACATGTATTTTCTTTACTAGGTGCGAAATAAGACACAGAATGTGAACTCAAAGGGTCAAAAAGGCATGTTTCATCTCGACTTTTAACTAGGTTTATTAGCAGTTAGTAAAAAAAAAAACAACAGTAGCTCCATCATTTTAACTTAGCTCCACCTTTCAGTCCTATAACTGCAGCTATGCAAGAACATTAGTGCATACAGCCGTCAAATTAGATTAATCAATTCAAAGTAACCACTGACCCAAACCTGTTTCAAGTCAGACTTTTTGGGGGCATTTCTCATCCATCTTTCTAAAACTATGCTGTCCTAAAGAAACACTCCTGATGGAATTCAATCAGCCCTCTAATGCTTCTAACTACTGTGTATAACACAAGGGAAGTGACTACTATTTCCTTATAGAGGATCAGGAAATAAAAAGAAGCAAAGAAGGAACATTTTCGAACATGCTGTCATTAAAGCTGCTGAAGTATTTTCAGGATATTTACCCCATGTTTGGATTCTGAAGAACCCCCATTATTCTTTGGATCCGGTCCATGGCCACGCTCTCCTGGAAACTGCTGAAACCTGCGGGAGAAATAAAGAGAAATGATGTGGAGGAGAGGAGGAGAGAAGGAGGCACGTGGCCTGGCCACTGTGACACCACCTTTTCAGTTCTAACCTCCTCTGTGTCGTCCTCCGCTCTGTGCGCTGAATCTTTGACGACACTGAACCACATCCGACTGCATGATGATTAAAGCTACAGTTCATTTTGGCTACAAGAACATCCCTCCTTACCTACTCCCTCAGTTATTCTGAAAAAGCCTCCTGGATGCAGTCGTATTGAGCTGTAACACACTTCTCAATACACAAACCAGGAAGTGGAACAAGGAACCAGGAAGACCACAAAACACCAGCATTAGGAAGTAACCGCAGCACACTGATGAACACAGTGTGCTGCGGTTAAAAGCTCTACACTGAAAGCTGCAAGAATCAACTTTTTGTTAGCAGTGTGGCTTTGTTAATACATTCAGTGTCCACAGAGGATAAATCGTAAGGACTTTGGTAAACCTCTGAGATTTCCTCTAACTGCACCATGAGGTTGTGTTTTTGAGTGAAAATGTCTCAACTACTCTATGATATATGGTTTCTTGTACACAAAATGTCAGTATGCTACACTTAAATCTTGAATTTTATGGTAAATAATATATAATTGCGGCAAAAACTTTTATTTTGTACTTACTGTCAGACCTGATGATAGGATACATGTATTCTGTTCATCTCATACCTACCATAAAGAAACGTTGCGAGTTGTGGTGCTAGACTATTTTAAAACGTTGCCGCTTATTTTTGGCGCAGCGTGCAGGAAGGAGTGCAAACAGCCGCTCTTAAATCATACATCACTTAAATTGTGAGGCTGCAGATCCGGTCTTTCATCTCTGCAGCACTTTCAGTTTAAAAGGATGCTAAATGACTCGTGAGGCCTTTGATGCTTTCATTACTTTGTTCTGCAGCTGTAATATCCAGTCTTCTGCCTCTCAGTCCTTTATTGTGGACATTCAGTTTGAATAATTTCTACATGTACGTGTCTACATTGATAAAATACTCTTTATAATCAAAGGAATATAATTTCATTTAACATTGAAAGCTTTTCATTACATCCAAATCACTTTCTAATGAATGCTTTATCTTAACTAGGTATTTGTTTCAATGAAATGTAAAGTGTTAATATATATTCACCAACCATCAGCTATCATACACATGTGCAGACTCCACTAGCAATGAGAAAGGATTGAGGAGTCAAATCCAAGTAAATTGGCGTTATACATCAAAAGTGTATTTCCAATTAAAGGTGGGGTAGGTAAGTTTGAGAAACCGGCTCGAGGTACACTTTTTGTTATATTCCATGGAATGCTCTTAACATCCCGATAGCAATAAATATCTTAAGTGCTTTGACAACAAATCAAAAAATCCATTAAATAATGTCATCTGTGGAAGCCGTAGCGCTGTAAAAAGCACGACCAATCATTTTAGCCGGCCCGGCTAAAATAACTGGATGGCCTGTCTGCCTTCCATCTGTGCACAAACTTATCTCGTGCCCTCATTGGTCATGTGCGCGTTCGTGTGTTGGAGGAGGGGCTCTGTAAGGAAGTGGCAGATTTTTTCCGGCTGTTTATTTTCAAATTCTAGTGCACTCGAGCTGGTTTCTCCAAAATGACCTAGCCCACCTTTAAAAGAAGATGTCAGGGGCTTAGATAATATGTGATGAATAATGTTTATTACCATGCATAAACTAATACAACTACAAAATAATTTTAAGAATAAATCTTACTGAATTTGATATCTTAGCTAAACTCTGATTTGAGCTAAATGCTAATGCTTAGAATTAGCATGTAAACATACTTACTAATGGTAATATTGCCAAAAGTTGTGTTTGTGTAGCAAAATTCATGGTTAGCGCAGGAAACTCATCTTGTTGATTACTTGTTGACTGTTCGATGAGAATATCTGAATTAGGACACGGTTAGCCTAGCTTAGCATAAAGACTGGAAGCAGGGGGAAGTGGCTCTTCTAGCTCTGGCCACCTGTCCTAAGGTGTATTGGTTAATACATTGTACCTCATTTCTTTAATAGGTACAGAAACAGAGAGATAAAAGTAACGCTTATATTTTCTTTAAACAAAAAGTTATATGCTACGTGAGCGCTGCATAAACAAAAAACTTATCCAATAGCAAATGAGAAATGTGACGTCACCAAAGCAGTGCATCTTTTCTCTGTTGGCACATGTTGTGTGGGTCTTATTCGGAAGAACATCCAGTGAAATGCTTTTATAATCACCTCTGTTTTACGTCAACCATCCTCACATAATGTATCTATCTTTGGCAGTGTGATCTGCAAACATCGTGTCCATTCATAAATCTGCAGAGCACTTCTTGTGAAAGCTGGGATTAGACACTTACGTTCAGAGTACCTGCCTGATCTCAGGCCCCGCAGGATGTCCGACAGAGACTGGATGTAGCACTGCAGCTCCGTGCACTGTGGAACAGAGAAGTCAGTTAGCATTCATGCTATCAGTGCTGCACCACGTAAAGTGCTTTCTAATAGCTAATAGCAGCGCACTGCTTATTGCTTTCCTTAAATAAATCATGTAATCCCAAATACCTACATTCATTTATAGAGTAGTGTGTCTGTGTGCTGCATAGGATTCACAGCTTATCTGATTTTTTTCTTCACTTTCTCATTTGGTGAAAAGCTCATTGATTTACGGCTAAGTGGCTGATAACCCATTTACGAACGCTCCAGTTTGATGCCATTAGTCCAGTTTTAACACAGAAGGTAAATGTCCACAGGCCTTTAATAAGAGGCTGCCTTTAACATGCTAATAGGGAAAGTGATCGCAATCGACAGCTTCACACGTGGCTCGCCAAGCTGTGTGTCGCCTTCAGACGGGTACAGGACACCCAGCATCACCGGACTACCATGAAAACTGGCACCATCAGATCCTCTTACCCTGTTTGATATCACCAGGCTGGCATTAGATCCCTCGCTGCAGCTACCCTGTCATCTGGAGCTGTAGTTTACTTTTAGGCTGCACAGACTTTCCCATGGCAGATTCCCAGTGCTCCTTACATTTCTGTTGTTAATTTCTAGGAACACATTTTTTACATACACTAGGCAGACAGCTGCTTGTGGCCTTGAGCAGTAAACTGCAATTGAAGAATCTTTATTTAGCTGCATTGCATCATGGTCTTTCCGCTACTGCGATTAAAGAAACAGTTTTCTGTGTCTGTTCTCTCTTTATGAAACACTATACGGACATATGTATCTGGACACACCTGTTTTATTCTATGCTTATGCTCTTGGGCTGTTTTCTATGGTTTAGCTTACACCCTCACCCCAAAAAAATATATTTTTATGCCACACAATACAATTTACATTTAAAATTGAACACAAAAACACAAATAGATTGAAGATTTAGTTTAAGAACATATTTAAAAGCGTGACATTTCATATTTCATATCCTTTGTTCTAATCATTATGCTGAGACTACACATCATAAGAACTAACTTGCTCCTCCAGAGAAGTGAATTTGATTAAAGCTCATATTCAGGTTTTATAATTGTATACTGTCTCTCTACTGTGACATGTTTACATGCTCTAATGTTCAAAAAGCTCTTTATTTACTGCCTGTGCTGCAGCACCTCTTTTCACCCTCTGTCTGAAACCAGAGCCCAGTCTGCTCTGATTGGTTAGCTGGCCGGCTCTGTTAATCGGTCAATTGCTTAGAGATGTCTCGCCCATTAGCCTATCATATACAATGTGTTGGAGCCCTAGCCAATAGAAGAATCTAGTGATGTGACTGTACGGAGGAAAAAAAAGAAGAAAAAAAAGAGTTGAATTAAGGCGTTTAAGGTAGGGGGGAGTGTGTGGGAGAGGAACTCTCTCTGGAGGGAACTTCGGGATTTTAGCCTATACAGACCATTAACATGCACAAAAATCTATAACACATTACAGGAAAGGGAAAACCCCTAGAAAGCATAAAACGACCCCTTTAAAGCTCCTTAACCTTTAAATTGTGACTAATTTGATGCAATTTCTATTCAACTTGTAGTGACATCTAAATGAATCTACATGTAAAATAATGCTACATTTGGTAACAGAAAAGCCTGAAGCTCCAGAAAGAATGTTTCTCCTGTTTAGTGAGGGACCTTGACTGGTCTCACAGAATTCCGACCTCACCCCCGCCCAGCACCTGTAAGATGACCTGGAGCACCGACTGAGAGCCAGAAGTCACCTGATCTCTAACATGACTGTTTGAATTCACTCCCTCTCATGTCTGGATGGGAGCAAATCCCTGCAGTGGGTTCAACATCTGGAGGAAAGTAACTAAATAAGAACGATTATTCAAGTACTTTACCACAATCTTGAGTGAGAGTTTTATTTTACCTGAGTGTTTCCTTCTTATGGTATTAATAATTCCAGTACATTTTAGACAAAATAGCATAATTTCTTTCACCCTGTTTGATTTATTGGATTAAAAAGTGACATACAAAACATTATCATCTGAGTAGCAGTAGTTTAGATTAGCTACATCATATTAATGTAATTATCAGGAATACAATTATTCTAATAATATAATTTGAGTTATTAAGTTATAACAATTAAATAGCATTATTGCTTCCTTAGATTAGCAACAATAAACTACTGGTCACAGCAGACCATCCTCAATGTATCTTGAGCGTTGTATTGCTCATTAATTAAATATTTTTGTTTGAATAAGTCATATTCCTTTTCTTTAAAGTAGCATTTTCTCACTTTAAGTGAATGATTTGAGTCCCTTTTTTTTTTACTCCTGCTAGAAATAATCTGGTTGATCTGAAATTCAAACTGTGAGATTTGCGGACTATATTTTTGTCCACGTAATTAAGATAAACATTGAGGCCAAATGACAGCTTTCGAAAGGCTGTCACTTTTTTATCGTGAGACGCCTCAACCAAAAAGACTTAAACTAAAAAGAGACCTTTTCTGGCAGATATCTGAAGTCTAACTGTCAAGTTCTCCAAAATAATACAGTTACACTACAAAGAAAAACCAAAGGAACAACCTAAAAAGACTGTGTGAAGTACATTTGCACGAAAACAGTATTCATTATATCTCACCTTCTGCGAGAATTGTTCATTTTCTGTGTCAGTTTGAGTCTTTTCACAGAGTCCCTCCACGTGAGCGCTGTGCACTCTCTTCCGGGTGTAATGATGCTTTGACCCCTCTGAAAGCTGCTCACAAACAGAAGTTAATCCCTGAACTGGACTGAGGGTTGGGGTCTGCGAGGTGGGTGGAGGCCCAGTGCAGCCGCTCCACCTCCTGCCCTGCGGCGCCGCTGCAGAGTGGAAGCAGCTTTTAGGAGTAGTGGATGAGGTTGATGATGGCGGTACAGGCGACTCCTCTGCATGCTGAGGACTTAATCTCGTTGGGCTGTCATAGTCGTCCTCATCGCTGGCGAGCCAGTCAATGGAGTAATCCGAGTCTGAGGTCGACATGTTGGAGATAGTGGCTCATCCAGCCGAGAGCATCACGCACCTGCCGGGTAAACACACCGATTTGTAAACAGCAAGTCAAAAATAAATATCTTAAAGTGTGTCAAGTGTTTCTGTGAAACAGTTTGTTAATGCCTAACATGTTAACCTTCTATTCACGCTGACTTTGGTCGAACCTACATATGGTATTTTAAACTCAAGTTTAGATACCAAACTTTACAAAGACACTAAATATGTCCGACTGGATGTTGTAGGAAAATGTGTGTAAAATGAGCCACCAGACCTCAAGTATTTGCATTGGATAGGTTCAATACAGACCTAGAACAGATAAAATAACTGAATTAAGATGATTTTAATAACACTCAAGCTACCTAGGAAATAAAAGGATAAAGGCTAATGTTAAAGAGGTTTGTCATCAGAAATGGTCCATCAATGCCAACATTGCTATTATCAGGGGTGCACATAAGTGGTACGCAGGTACGCATGCGCGGCAACAATCTGAAATGCGTACCGTCACTTGTGTCACAAAGCGCATTTGCGTACCGATGTATATGTGAAGCTTTTCCAGAAGGCGGTTAGATCACCGGACGACGGAGTCGGTCTCCGTGTGCAAAGGCAGGGCTGCTGTTAACGTAGGCCTGTACAGCAGCACTGCGCTAAAACAGCTGATCACAACGTTCACACGCTCTGTGGTCACGAAGCTCTGCACTCTACTACCACCCC